ATGAACGGCAGTCGGTAGTAGCATTTGGCTGCATCGCCCCCAACAAAGGCTAATCGATCATTGATGCCTCCATTCGTTCGGTGCCTCGACGTCATCATGCCAGTGGCTTCAAGGTTTCGACTTATCTCCTCCACATTGATTGGCTCTTCGAAACCTACATCATCTCGAGCCCTGACATGAAGGCTATAGTTGAACCCCTTAGCGACCGCTGCATCCCAGCATTGGGTGTAACTGTCGGCCATTTTAAAATTTGCACGGAGCCTAGCCCAAAGCATGTCTAAACATCAGCCAAGTGAAATGACAGCGATATTAGTGGGGCGCAAAAACATGCAATTGTCAATTTGCGGCGCATCCACGCGTACTTACGATCAAATTGCTCAAGCTTCATAGTGGTGTAGTCTTTTTGAGGAATAAATATCCCATTGCGACCCATCTGAATAACATACTGCGGATTCGCCGCTTGATTTGGATTGGGAGTGTAAGTTGATTGACGGTTCACCCAAGAAATGTTTTGGTGGTGATGATGATGAAACCATTTCACGACGTCTCTTTTATTGCGGAAAGAGGTTCCATTAATGATGTCATTGAAAACGGCACTCGCATCATCGGTGGGTGCTTTGTTGTAAGTCGCATTCCCATCGCCTAGTACCATAGCAACGTCCACATGATCATAGAACCCTGATTCAAGTAGCGGTTTGATGATTGTTCGTAGCTTGTTCGCCATCTCCAGCCGCCCCACCTGTCCAGTAATGCAAACAAAGGCACGTCTAGCGGCTGGCTCAAGCTGCCGTTCGCGAGGTTCGAGTGCTTTTGAATCATCAGCGAGGGGGTATGGGACCGGAAAAAGGCTACTGTTTGGTGGTTCTCTCATCACAATCTTGGAGTAGACATGCTGCAAGAACTGTGGCAAACTTCTAATTTCAGTTTGTCCCTGATCCGACTGTAATCCGAAGGTCCCCTCTTGATAAAACTCTTTGATTGGCCTTTCCAAGTACTCTCGAGCCATCCCTGCATCAGGCAACGACATAACATCGATTTGATCGACTCCATGGCCACGTTTGGTGGTACACGGGAGGTGATAGTTCTTGATGTGGGTAGTAGCCAGAAGTGCTGCATTGAGGGGCTTTGCAAGGATGGCATCTTCTCCGGCTCGGACTACAATGACTCTATTGTTGGTATTGGTGTCGTTGGCAAGTCGGCCCAGAAATTCTCCGCACTGTTTGTACTGATTTAGCAATCGGACATCATTTACGGCTCTCCAAATGGTCCGTTCAAAGTTGTCTCGTCTAATCTCTCCATCTTCAAAGGTGCCACTGATTGCAATAGCTCGTACGTACTCCAAGTTCACAGGTGGATTGACCAACGGTGGTTGGATGTCGATGATGATCTTGTTTCTTCGAAGGCGAGGCATCTGACGCCTTAAATAACCAAGAATATCATACTTGGAGCGAAAGGATCGATTTGGGCGTGCCTGCAACGTCAGATTCAATAGCTGCTCTTTGCCTTGGAAACGACTGAAAAGATCGTACTGATCCGCAAGTTGCGAATGATTGGTAATGAGACGACCGCCTCCGTACAGTGCCTCTTTATAAAAGGAGTAGGGCTCTCGAAAAGCCATGAAATCCGAGTCATAAGGAGCTTCCTTGGTGAGAGTGGCGGTATTGATGCTGTCATCTTGCAGTACCATGGCGATGTGTAAGCTGTCATTGGCTGTAGAATTCGAAAGAGGCCGGAGGAGATTTTCGATTTTGTTCTCGAGTTCTAGATCTCCGAGAACCCCCGTAATACAAACAAATACCTGATTGTCTTCTTGTTCTTGTAGGCGCTCTTTGGTGCTTGTCCCGGCCGCAACCGAAACTTGCGAAGTTCCTTGAGTAGTGTTTTGCCGCTGAAGAACTTGCTGCTTCATAAACTGAGCGAGTTGATGTTGAAGTTTGACATCTGCCGCTTCTCGACTTTCGGACCATGGAGGTGTGTCTTTGGATTCTTTTGCGGTGCCAGCACCTGCTTCTGTTTTTATGACCATGGGTGTTGGTGACTGCATGATTGGTTTCCTGGCTCCGATGGCGTCACTTGAGTTCTTTATGTTTCGGTCCAAGTATGGGCTTCTCCTCAGGTTTGCTTTTCTCGGTTGATCAGTGGCATGATAGTACGTTCTCAGTGAATATCCCTTGAGCTGACTGAATGTCGTGAGCGTCGACAGAACAGCGAAGGCCACGATCATGGAAACCTTCATGACTTGCTTGGGAGGTTGCATTTGCCAAGTCATGGTCAGGTTTTAAAATAAAAGAGATGGATTCTTTCGCCTTTAGAAGAGCCGATGGAATCGAGGCTCTGAAGATCAATGCAAGGCAGACGATCCATGGATGGTCGTTTTCGCATGGAAATGTGGAGAGAAGCCATTGCAAGTCTTGCAGAACCGCCAAAATTTCCAAGGGATTGATTTTCAGCGTTTCCCGTGATTTGAAGTCATTCCCTGCTGCCTGTCTGAAACTACGACTGGCTGGCTTTCGGGAACAACGCCCGCCGGATTCTGCTGACGCAGATTTTACTCGAGACGATCCAAATTGGGAGTTGGTGGCCAACAGAGTCCCATGTGGTACGACTGTACCAACGTACCAGTACCAACTCCCCCTCACGGCCTCGTACCAGGTACAGTACTGACCTCCGAAAGTAGCTGCCACTGCTGCGGACGAAAGGTCCAAGCAGAGCAGAAGAAAACTGCGAAAGCAAGACCTGGACAATTTCGAAGGAGGCAGGTATGATTCTAAAGTGAAGTGTAGGAACAATAGCCACATGTAGAGCAACATCAATACCGTACTCGAGTAGGATCTCTCATCTCTCGCCTCTCGCTTCCATACGAGCCGCAGAGTTGAGTGAGCTTATCGACAATGAGCCGAACATGTAGGCATACAGACATAGCGCTTATTTCCGCAATGCCCGCCAGCAAGCAAGGCATCTTTGCTTGCATCAGATTCTTCGTTTTGCCTGGAAGAAGAAAAGTGACCATACGACCATACCGCCTTGCCGCCTTGGCGGCACTACAGTTTCAGCAATTATTGCCCGTATATCACATGAAGACGACAAACACTCCATCTCTTTTACCATGCTGCAGCTGTCGAACAGGAGGCATTGCCAATAATTCCCATGAGCCATCAGCCTCCGTGATACTCAGCTAGTCTAGCTATTTCTCCAGTTAGCTAGTGGACTAGCAGTCCTTAAGCTACGCGGGAGTCCTCCAGACAGAGTCCAGAGTACTCCTCTCATCAGTGGCCAAGAAAAGTCCTCGAGATGAACCGGAAACCGGAAACATGTATGTCACAACATCAATCTGGAAGCAGTTGCTTTGTTGATTCAGGTGCTTCTAATCATCTACTCTAGTACTGTATCCAGGGTTGCTGGTTCAACTAAATTTGGATACGAACTCTGTTCATGACAAAAGTTCGGGTAACGTAATGCTCATGAACTGAACCAGTTCGTGAATACGCCAATTTTGAGCAGCCTCGTGAACCAATTCATGAACCCATTCGTGAACCAAAACTAGGTTATGGTTAGCAAATACATGGTTATGGTTAGCAAATACAGCTGTATGCTCGTATTCAAGAACAAAACGCATACATTGGGTCACCAAACCTGGCACAAGTGAGCTGGTTGTAGTTGGACTGAAGGTGCTTTGCAAGTCAGGAAAATTTGCTTACTAGACATATGTTGCCTCATTTATGTGCAGAATTCTCATGAACCAATAATGTGGAAAAGTTCACCAAATTTGCGATGCTCGCAAGATGTATTATCTTTGACCAAACCTAGATTACATGGAGAGTGGAGCTCTCTCTAGGGCACCCGCTAACCTCTATTGTTTCCATCTTTTCTATTTGTGTTAATCGGTCGCTTCTATGAAACTCGATCATAAACACCCAAAGAATTTGAAACATTCTTAGTGTTCGCACGGATGAAACTTATTGAGAGTTCGATAGGCCAGGCAGGCACCCATCTGTGGAGTAGTAGTCTAGTCGCTTTGGCAAAGAAAAGCCACTATAAAGGAGACGCTGGGGAACCCCATCGAGGTGAAACGCTCGGAAGCTCAAAGCTCGTACGTCTTTCCCTGACTCGTGCGCTTCGATTCGCTCAGACTTTCACTTCTCGCTCCAGCTCTTCTGCTTGCATCTCGTAGCTGCACACTGATGTGCTCTCGTCCTGTAGATTGTGCATATTGATCTACTGTATAAAGCTGAAAATAGTTATCTTGTGAAGCCATGTTAGAGACAGGTAAGGTTTCGATATGATAAAATCTTGGTAACGGCAAACATAAGAGCTTAGGGCTGTTAGCTACGCTGTACGCACATAAACTGGCTACTGCTATATCCGACCTACGTCAGGAAGCTCGGAAGGTGTCCCGTATTCTTTGTGCGACCTTCTCACGCTTGTTTTGTTACGTGTTAAACCTCCCTTGACCCGTATCATTGCATGATAGCTGATCTCAAAGTCACCCCAAGAAGAGTTCTCTGCTTCTGTTATATAGCTGGTATGTGCTACACATATTAGACGAAACTGTGAACCAGAAGGACAAAATAAATAAATAACTAACAGACTTACTTATTTGTGGCACTCTCAAAACGCTCCACAAAAGACTGCCGAGTAACCATTTTGGCGAGTTCATTGTTCCATTCGGGAAAACCAATTTATTTCTTCAGCATGAATTGGAGTGATCAGAGACCAGCGAAAGGACGACGGCCAAAATAGAATTAATGTAACACCTCCCACCATATTCAATCTCTTTTTTCTCGCTGCACTCTCCGTAGCGGATCCTTTTAGCGTCCATAAGAACCCTTATCTGGCTGAGTGTTGCCGAGGTGCTGCGCGATATTAGAAAGAGCCCATATCGTATATGCTCTCTATTTCAGTCCACCCAAATTAAGGGCCGAGAGTATTTTTAACATCTATACCAATTTGTATTAGTCAATGCTCCTGTTTTCTGGGTAATCTGCGAGATATGGCGCAACGTAGCAGAAGTAGCGCCTGTAACCTGCCTCATCCGGCACTTCTTTATAATTCTCCTCGGGTAATCATTGGAGAAATTCTGTTAAATCATTAGAGCTCGTTTTGGAGCTGAGAATTACATTATCTCCATACGACACGCCACAAAAAACAGACTCCCAGGAAAAAGCCCGGTGTATCCTAATATTATACCACGTGTTTCCCCATTCCTGTACTTTGCGCCCATATTTCCAGAAATTGCTCCTATTTTCTGACGCGGTACTTTCCTACTCGCGTCGCGCCCTTTATTTGCCTTGCGCCCTGTGCGTAGGCACCCATTTGAGAGAGTATTCTGAAAAAGAATCCCAGAGGACGGAAGCTGTAGTTTTATACATAGTAAATAGCATCCTAACACAAAGCAAGATTCAACTTCTATTCCTTCTCGTGTTAGTTGCTGTTTTCAGGTTATCTCGTGGTGAATTACCAAAGCATATTCACAGCCGAATATGGTTTAGTTGCATTCCTCTTATTGTAAATCTGACTCAATACTAACCCCAGTGTCTTCTCCTGTACCTCTGTCCACTGACAGAGACGGACAACGAGCTCAGTAGAGAATGGCTAGTCATGTGCCCATCTTCATATGATTCTTAATAAGCCAAAAGTGTACCCTCTTAAGCTCTCTATTTCTTCTCCTATATCGGCAGTAGGGAAGAGGGAGTAGGGGGAGGAGGGTCGAGCTCAGGCGCAGACTTCGCACTCTTCTTCCTCCTACTGTGCCAGTGTAAAAGACAACAGCCACAACACCCCATGACTATATAAGTTGTTGAATGTGTGTAATAGTAGCTTTCCCCAATCTCTCGCAAAGTGTGTCCCTGCGCCGGGTGCCCAGTCAGGAGCAGTCTCATGTCACTCCCCATTCTCCAGTGTGCCTGATGCGGTCGTCAGCTAGATATATTATATATAGTAAAATATATGGGATCGCATACAATAAGACCAATATATATATTTACCCTTCCATGTGCACATAATACCTCTGTCTCGCATAGTCGGACAACCGAAGCGATAAGTATCATATAAGAAGAGGAAGGAGAATGATCGCCTTAATTCTGACAACGAATTACTACCTCTCTGTTCTCATTGCAAGAAGAGTCAAGTGAAACTTACCTTTCGTCATTGTGGTATAGCCACCATTTTCTCCCCTTATTGTCCTCTCCTGCCCCTTAATTTTACTAGTTCTCTAGTTGCCCCTGATTAAGCAGGCTCGATGTCCGGCCGAAAAAGAACAAGAAATTGGACAAAAAAAAGATGAAGCAGCCACATGTGATCATATATACTATCATCTCTTGATTTTTCGAACCCTCTCCCACGTCCTCATTGCATCCTCTTTGTTGGTTGTTGGCTCCGGATAAGTCAAACACTCTGAAAGGCTTGTCTGAATATCCCTAACAATTTACAAGGTTCAATATGCGCCAATTTTCGTAATATTGCTCTATTACAATCCATGAAATTTTCTGTAACACAAGATTCCAGACCGACGCTCTCGGCAAACTAGCTCGTCATCTTTCCACGATTCCGAGGATGATTCCTCCACGAAGAACAGACTAACCAGCAAGAATGGCTGATGCAAGGAAGTGTGGAACTGAACCAAAATCTCTCGGCAAGATAATGGACTTCGATTCTCGAATTGTGAGATAATATGGGAAGGTCAAGAGATGTGGTCGTCCCAAGAATGGCCCAGTCCAAACCATGCCCAGTAGGCTTGTCTCGGCCCCCCAAATGAAGATCATTGGGTGTTTGGGATGGGGCGGGAAAAGGCGGAAGGGGGAAAAATGTCGAGTATCAGAGGACTTACGAATTCCCAATTCAAAAAAACCTCGCTGGCTTCCATGCCATAGTCTTAGTACTTCTTGCAGCTTTTGAACAAAGATCGAGAGTTCGACCACATATAGCATTCGCGATGGTCACCAAAAGTGGACCACTCATATAGGCCCAATCTGCAGCTGGCATCGTGCCAAAGGCAACAATCCACCTGAACACACTTGTAAAATCAACCACACTGGAACAGCATATGATCCACAGGTAGAGAGTCACAGAGCGCTCTTCTGCGTTCTCACACTAGATGCAGGGAGAATTTGAAATACGATTCAAACTGACAGGTGAAGAGAAAGTTGATAACTCGCGACCCCGCATATTATTATCCAAAATGCCTGAGGGGAGCAAAAGTTGTCGATGGTACAAACAAGGATTGGAATGAACATTTGGATCGAAACCGACATCAATCGTTGCGAACTTCTG